GTCACCACCTACTTGTTATGAAAAATGTAATCCAACTCACTCTTGCAATGTTGAAATCGGAGTAGAAGTGGTACACATCCAATCCCCATTTTCCACAACACACATTCCAAAAATCAATGCGTTACGTGGTTGTAGTTAGAGATGACAACAAAACCCGAACTCACGGGTATCCACCCGACCCAATCTGGTCAATGCGGGTAAAATTCATGTTGACGGATTTTGGGTTTAAACCCGTTTACTATTCATTGGGTTGGATTGGGTTTTGGTTTAGGTAAACCCGACCCGTGGGTACACGCCCACACCTATATAATTAATTTTCTCGGTATATTTGATATTCTAAGCAACTAATCCTATTTATATTTGTGAAGACATGTCTAATATTTTCTTTCTAATTGTGTAGAATTAAGTTAATGTTATCGAGTAGAGAGTGAAAAAACTTAATTGAAAGAAATAAGCTTTCAATTAATCATGTTATTTATGGATAATTTGGGATTTGCTTCAATTTTCTTGAGTTTTCTAAATCGGTGTTGAACAATTTGTATAGTTAATTTGTGATTTGCTTGAATTTTCTAGAATGGTGTTTTATATATGGATAATTTGTATTGAGAGATTGATATTTGACTTTAATTTTGATAGGAACTTGTTATTGTAAATTTTTACGACAAAAATCCGTGGGGTACTCATGAACCCACGGATACCCAGCAGGTTGGGTTGGGTTTGAGTTTTTCAAACCCAATGGATTTTACCCCGGGTTTTTTTCATGGATAAACCCATGAGTTTGGGTTTGGGTTTGGCAAAACCCGACCCATTGCCATACCTAGTTGTAGTTTTTCCTACGGCAACGACATGGAGTTATAAATTTTGAGGTAAAGAATTGCATCATCATGATTTAATTTTTTGGGCGAGAAAGATGTGAAGCGGTGCGATCATAGTTATGTTGTGGTTAATAAAACAAGTTGTAATGATGTGAACATGCGTGGTGTAGTGGGAGAAAAATCAGAGCTATAGTGCGGACAAAAATATAATTTTTTAGACACGTGGAATTTGTGGGCTTAAATTTCATAGAAGATTCGACAATAAACTATTTCGAAGCAACTTCCGCTTCTGTAGCCGCTCAATTTCTCTAGGTCACTAGAGTCTTGAGACATTGATTGCATGTGAGTGAATATAGCGAACTCGAGAGGATATGATTGGAATTTTTTAGTTGGCGGACTCGAGGGGATTGTCTGAGACCTATGTCACACGTGGCAGATGACATGGCGCCAACAGGGTGACAACAAGGCGGCTGCACATGTGGCATGTATGGAAGACTAGTAGCATAGAGATGCTCCTAGGATTCTCCACCTTAATAGAGAGCTTAATGGTGCACTTATGAGTCACATAATGGGTGACATTTATAGAGTGCATAATGGGGGGACTTAATGGGGTGTATTGATGTAGTAGAGGGACATTATGAGGGGCATTGATGCCTTGTATGAGGAGAGGCCTATATAAGGAGCCATCTCCCTCACTTGTAACTCACCCATCATTTTTGTGAGGAATACAACTATAGAGTTTCTCCCATCTTCTTGTGTCTTGTTCTTGTGAGTTGAGTGAGTTTGAGAGCTTGTGAGAAGGCTGCCTAGCATCTCTAATGGAATTGAGAGTTAGGGCCGCACGACCAAGAGTAAGGCCGTGACAGTTGGTATCAGAGCCTGGTTCTGAAAGAAGAACCGGTGTCCTCACTCCCCAAGAAGGAAGATAAGAAAGAGCGAGAACCTCACCAAAGATGGCTGGATCAGAAGTCCATGACGATGCGGAGAAGCCACGTGGAAGAGATCCCACTCTGGGCGCAAGGTCAAAAGGTACGTCGAGCACTCGTGATCCTCTCAAGTCTCTAGAGAGGCGAGTCTCGAGGATGGAGGTGAAGCTTTCCGAAGATGTCACCGTCATGGAGGATTTGGGAGCTAACTTCACCCAAATCCAAGGCGATGTTCAAAGTGTGGCGGCTAGAGTGACGAGTTTGGAGGTTGGAAATGAAGGGCTTCGAGATGAGCTCATGGCCCTCATCAAAAACACCATCTCCACCGCCATGAACGATGCCATTGAGCTAGTGAAGGAGGCGGCTGCTGCGGAGGTGACCGTCTTGAAGGAGGAGGTTGCGGAGCTCAAAAGCGAAGTGACGCTTGTGAAGAGGGCCATGGCTAACGGACCTGCCATCGCACAACCTGCCTCAACCATGGAGATTCCAAGACCAAAGAGCTTTCAAGGGTCGAGGAATGCAAGGGAGTTAGAGAACTTCCTATGGAGCTTGGAGCAATACTTTGAAGCTTCGGGTATTCGAGATGAGAATACCAAGGTAAAAACTGCACCTCTTTACTTGAGTGATGTTGCCATGCTGTGGTGGAGAAGGACCCAAGGCGATATCAATAAAGGGACGTGCGTGATGGAGTCATGGGATGACTTCAAGAGGGAGATCAAGAGGCAATTCTACCCAGAGAATGTTGAGTTTGAAGCCCGGTCGAGACTAAGGAGGCTTGCTCACGAAGGAGAGATTCGAGTGTATGTGAAGGAGTTTTCTGAATTGTTGCTCGAGATCCCCGACTACACCGACAAGGAGGCCATGTTCACCTTCCTTGACGGCCTCCAACCATGGGCGAAGTTGGAGCTACAACGGCGAGGCGTGCAAAGTCTTGCCGAGGCAATGGCGATTGCCGAGTCCCTAGTCGAGTACCACGAGTCGGAGGAACGTGTGGAGTTCGGAGGCAATGGAGGTGGACGCGACTATGACAAAGACACACGAAGGCGTGGTAGACTGGACCAAGGAGGTAGTCATAAGGTTGAGAACCCACTTACTTGCTTCCTTTGTGATGGTCCGCATCGTGTGAGAGATTGCCCAAGAAAGCACAAGTTGTCGGCAATGAAGGCCGTACTAGCAGAGTGCTCGAGCTCGGAAGAGGAAGAGGAGGCGACTCCAAGAGTGGAGCCCCATGTCGCAAAGATTGGTTGCATGAAGAGATTGAGCTCCATCAAGCGGACGGAAGAGCCTCCCCATCCTGAGCAACACGGTCAATGCTTCGTAGAGGCAAAGCTCAACCAAAGGAAGACAAAAGCCTTGGTTGATACCGGGGCAAGCTGCAACCTTCTCGACGTAGATGAAGCGCGGAGGCTGGGCATCACGTACGAGAAGAAGCGAAGAGGGTGGATGAAGGCTACCAACTCAAGGGCCACAAGAACTCATGGAGTAGCGCGCCAGGTGCCACTCAAGCTAGGAGGATGGACCGGGGTGGCGGACTTTGAGGTTGTGTCATTGGACGATTATCAGGTCATCATCGGCATGGAGTTCATGGTGCGGGAGAAAGCTTTCCCGATCCCATACGCCAATAGATTCTGCATCAATGGCGGAGCAAGATTGGTTCCCATGACAAGAGAGCAACTTGAGTCAAACAAGAGGTGTTTGGCAAGGCAAGAGCAGCGAAAAGTGGCAACGATGGTGGAGGTAGCGGCTCACTCGAAGACCCGTTGGAGAAGGACGAGAAGGAGGAGTGCACAACATCGTGGAGCCATGAAAGACGAGGATGGATCATCTTCGACTTGCCAAGAGAAGCAAGGAAAGGCCACCATGATCGAGAAGGCGGGACACTCGAAGACGCGACGGAGAAGACCGCGGAAGAGTGCGCAACATCATGGGAGCACAAGGCTCGAGAGCGAGTCAGGGCCATCCTTGGTTTGGAGGAAGGTGCAACGAGACCTTGCAAGCAATGAAGCTAAGGCAAGGGAGGCGTCGGCCAAAGAGCCACGACGAGGGCGTCGTGGATTGAGTGGAGGAGAATGTCACCAACGAGGCTCAAGAGTCGAGAGAGGCTGCTCGAGGTCGATGGAGGCATTTCGTAGCAAGGACGCGACGAGGGCGTCGCGAGCATAGGTGGGGGAGGATGTCACACGTGGCAGATGACATGGCGCCAACAGGGTGACAACAAGGCGGCTGCACATGTGGCATGTATGGAAGACTAGTAGCATAGAGATGCTCCTAGGATTCTCCACCTTAACAGAGAGCTTAATGGTGCACTTATGAGTCACATAATGGGTGACATTTATAGAGTGCATAATGGGGGGACTTAATGGGGTGTATTGATGTAGTAGAGGGACATTATGAGGGGCATTGATGCCTTGTATGAGGAGAGGCCTATATAAGGAGCCATCTCCCTCACTTGTAACTCACCCATCATTTTTGTGAGCAATACAACTATAGAGTTTCTCCCATATTCTTGTGTCTTGTTCTTGTGAGTTGAGTGAGTTTGAGAGCTTGTGAGAAGGCTGCCTAGCATCTCTAACGGAATTGAGAGTTAGGGCCGCACGACCAAGAGTAAGGCCGTGACACCTACCCATGAAGAAAACTTAAAATTAGGGATGAGAAATTTGCTGAAGACAGATTGAGACATTGATAGCATGTTAATGTTATCTTTCCTCTGCAAGTTTTAGCATTAGTCGTAGTTTTGGAGCACTCATTGAACCTCTATAAAAGTATGCCTAATTTAATGTAAATTTGTCTCGTGAGTTGTAAAAATATCAAACACTTTTGTTTGAACTTTGTTTATTTTAATGTTGTTCAATGCTCAAGAAGTAAGGTCCAATTAATTTCATTTCAACACAAATTTTCTTGCAAAAAAAAAAAAAAACAAATTATCACTTTTTTTTTTTGAAAAATTATTACATTCTTTAAATTGATTCATCCAAACAAGGCTAGAGAATTTCTCCTCTGATTGATAAATGATTAAAATAAACACGCTACTATAGCTGTCACCGGGATCAAACTCTAACCTTAATGACAATGAATTTGGGTTGACTCGCTAGTCCGAATTTACCCACCCCACTAAAAAAGATTTCTTCCCATAAAATTATTACATCACCACGAGTTTAGCCAGCAACCGGTTTGGGCGGTACCCGATCCAGAAACGGGCCGAGGTATTTCCCTTCCCTTTCGCATTCCATTTAAAAAAAAATTAAAAAAATTAAATATAAAAAAACAAATTGGTCTGGTTGTTCTAGGGTGTCTCCTTCGTTTCTTCCCTCTGCTAAAGGCCGCTTTCCACAGCCTGACCTTTTTCTTCTTCCCCTATTATTTAGTCGCACTCTTCCCCCAATTTCCAGACCTCGGCATTCCCACTTATAACAGTTCTTCTTCCACCCATCTTCCTCAACCTCTGACCTTCTCAGAATCTCCTTCCCTGAGAATGTAAATTTCGTTCGCCGGAGATCACTACTGGGTTTTTCCCCTTCTTTTTTCTACCCTTCTCGAGTAGCCCGCCGGACGAACAGAAGCAAAAAAAAAAAAAAAAAAAACAGCTAAACAGACTCCGTCCTGCCATGGCTCTCCTGCTCCGTTCCTCTCTGCTCGCTTTGATCTGCATTGCTCTGCTCTCGACCCGTTGCTTTGCCGCCGACCCAACGGTCTCTTACGATTACAAACTCACTTACATTACCGCCTCTCCTCTCGGCGTTCCTCAACAGGTCCCTTCTTCTACTTCCCTCGCTCAACTCTTTCTCCGACATTGACTTCTCGTTTTCCTGGTGTCAATTGGAAAATTTTCTTTTCTGGGTTTTTTATTCTGGCGTGCGACTCTGTTGTTCAGGATCTGATGGTTCAAATGGTTGTTCTTCCCCCCCAGTTTTTCTTCCCATGGGCCCTGTTTCGTTTCAATCTGTTTGCTATATTTGAATTATGAAGAGAGTAAGGTTTAGGGATTGGAGTGTCACCGATTCTTGTCACCAGCGGATTCTTCAGGGTTTTAGCATTCACAAGGAATATTTGGGGACTCATTTTCTTGGTTCCGCATGTTGCGTTTGATTCATATTTTTGGGCTGCGATTGTCAGTTTTCTCGTCTTTTATGTTCTGGCGAGTAGGGTTTCTTCAGTCTATTGAGAAGGAAGCTGCTGAGTTGTTCCTTCATTTCATTGCCAGGTGATTGCTGTGAATGGACAGTTCCCTGGTCCACTCCTGAATGCTACTACCAACTACAATGTTGTTGTGAATGTTATCAATGAGTTGGATGAAGGTCTCCTCATTACTTGGTATGTATGGTTCTGATTCCCATGCTTCTTGTGAACTTTGAATCTATCCGTAGTTGGTTCTTCTGTATTGCGTTCCGAGCTTTTGATATGGAATGTCTATCTGTGTGTGTTTTGAATTTTGAGTATAGGCCTGGGATTCAAATGCGGCGAGATTCGTGGGAAGATGGAGTCCGAGGCACAACATGTCCAATTAGGCCAAAGAGGAACTTCACTTATAATTTCCAAGTAAAGGATCAAATTGGGAGCTTCTTCTACTACCCATCCCTCAATCTCCAGAGAGCATCTGGAGGTTTTGGCCCTGTTGTTATCAACAACAGGGAGGTTATTCCAATCCCTTTTGCACAACCTGACGGTGACATTAACCTCCTCATTGGAGATTGGTACACTCAAAACCACACGGTTGGTATTCTCTTCGTTGTTTAGTTGATATATATATTGATTGATGTTCTTTTGTTGCTTACGTAGATTAATTTTGAGGGTTGAATTTTTCGCTTTGTTGGCTGTTTTGTACTGAATGCCAGGCATTGAGGACTACTCTTGATTCTGGGAATGAACTTGGAATGCCTGATGGTGTTCTAATTAATGGGAAGGGACCTTTCAAATACAACTCTAGTGTACCTGATGGCATCAAGTACGAAACCCTTAATGTCGATCCAGGTAACCACCTTCTCATTGCTGTTCTTGTTTTCCTTACCACTAGAATCGAGCTGTTTGCTACTCTCTTGATGCTCTTCATAACGCATATTATGTTTTGCAGGAAAAACTTACAGATTTCGGGTACACAATGTGGGCACTTCAACAAGTTTGAACTTCAGAATTCAAGGTCACAATCTGCTACTGGTGGAGACAGAGGGACGTTATACATCACAACAGAACTACACAAGCTTTGATATCCATGTGGGCCAGTCTTACTCGTTCTTGGTCACCATGGATCAGAACGCAACTACTGACTACTATGTTGTGGCAAGCGCCCGATATGTAAATGAAACAGTTTGGCAGAGAGTCACTGGTGTTGCCATCTTGCACTACTCCAATTCCCAGGGACCAGCCGCTGGTCCTCTTCCTGAGGCACCAAATGATATCTACAACCAGTGGTCTGCCATGAACCAGGCAAAGACCATCAGGTTTGTGGTTTACTCATAAATCATTTCATATGCTTTTTATGCATGAATCATTTCCCCCTGACTCTTTCTTTGCCTGTTAATTTTGGCTAGGCAAAATACGTCTGCAAGTGGGGCTAGGCCGAATCCACAGGGTTCATTTCACTACGGCCAGATCAATATTACCGACACATACATTCTAAGAAGCTTGCCACCAGTTTCAATCAATGGGAAAATGCGCGCAACTCTCAATGGAATATCGTTCCGAAACCCGGACACTCCAATCAGGCTTGCTGATGTACACAAGGTGAAGGGAGCTTACAAGCTTGATTTTCCCACTCAGCCAATGAACAGACCTCCAGTGGTGGACACATCTGTTCTAAATGCTACATACAAGGGCTTTGTCGAGATCATACTGCAGAACAATGACACCAGATTGCAGAGCTTTCACATGGATGGTTACTCATTTTTTGTTGTGGGGTGAGTAAACCATTTTGAAGTATCCCTTCACTTGAAAAGTTTGAAACTTTCTGCTAATTCTATCGAGTGGGATTACTGCAGGATGGACTGGGGAATCTGGTCGGAGAGCAACAGGAATGGATATAACAACTGGGATGCCATTTCTCGCTCCACTGTTGAGGTTGGCTTGCTTTCTTTTCAACCCATTAAGGAGCCCTGATTTGCCTTGAAATGTGAAGTCCGTCTGTCTGTCTCTACATGATGTTTGATCTAAAAAATGAATGTGGTGCAGGTGCATCCTGGAGCATGGACCGCTGTTCTTGCATCCCTTGACAACGTGGGTGTATGGAACCTGAGAGTAGAGAATCTCGACAGGTGGTATCTCGGTCAAGAGACATACATGAAAATAGTGAACCCTGAGGAGAATGGTGAAACTGAGTTTGCTCCACCAGATAATGTAGTCTACTGTGGTCAACTTCAGAACCTGGAGAAGTAATTGTCCTCTCTCTGTCTCTCATTTTCCCAATTGATTAATTTGTCATTGCACCTCTTCTGCTATCGAACCAATTTTCTGACTCCTTCTGTGTTGTATTCTACAGGGACAACAAGTCCAATGCAGGTTCAACAATGGCGAGGAGGACAAACGTGTTTATCAGTCTGGCCATGGCGCTTTCTGCTGTGTTCTTCTACAACATTTTGGTCTGAAACATTTTTATAGGAGGTTTGGGCGGGAAAATGAAACAAAGAGATACGAAGAAGGGTCATTGATGAAATGGAAGTGGTCATTGATCTGTTGATTTGTTAGAGAATGTATACATCTGGGTTGGTCGAGTTATAGGGCTTTTTTTCCTGCTGATTTAACTGTGCAGCTTCTTCTCTAAAGTTATTGTCTTGTTCATAGAAAAAAAATGGTTCTTCTCAATTTGTTAGTGCTAATCAGTCACGCATTGAAAATCAATCCATTCCCCTTTTATTTTGTGTGGGTTTCTCTTTTGTTTTAATTTTATTTCGGCACCTAATTAAATATAATTAAATTCTATTTCTCCTCAGTTTTGGGGTCGTTGTCTGGTCCTCCATGATAGGGCGTTGACGATCTTTTTCGGTAATGATGCATCATGCATGTTGATTGTCTCTCTGGGTTCGTGAATCTAACTTCCGCAATCATTCTGTTGATCTGTTCGCTGCACGTAGCTATAGGCCTGCAGGCGGCCCATTTTGATGGACCATATGTCTGGTTTTCGGTTCAAACAAGTCAGCTAGAATGTTTCAGACGGGCTGGGCTGGATTGGTGGTCCAGGCTGAAATGATGAGTAGTAGTCCACTGGAGGGACCAAAAATACGGCAAGCAAGCATCATCAAAGAGAATTAAAACATCGGAATGGAATGCGTTAGAGTGGCAACCAAGGTTGTCAACCCGCGGGTCGACCCAATTTGACCCTGACCCGGTGAGAAAAACGGGCCGCACGCACCCGCCGGGCCGACCGCTATTAGGTACCGGGTTGGAGGTCAAATTGTGTCATTTTTTCTTTAGTTTGCGAATGCGCCTATTTTCCAATTTTTCTTTTCGCCTAACTCAATCTTTGGAATACTAAGTTGAACATTTGAATATTTATGTTATATAAGTGTGTGTGAATTTTCACTATATGTTGGATCTAAGTACGATATGTTATTTTGGTGTAATATTATATCTTATAACTCATATGTTAGATAAGATTTGATATAATTTATGAGGATAAGTGCAATATAATGACTCTTTCTATATTTCCGGGCCAAATCGGGCTAAAACGGTTGATCCATTAACCCTTGACCCACTAACTCGACTGGGTCCGGGTCAACCCGCGGGTTGACAACCTTGGTGGCAACTAAAATTTTAGTAGTCACCGTGGCTACATCACTATTTGCCGTTCATTTTTCTTGTTTTCCTCTTTTTTCAATCTCACGATTAATTTTGTTTCAGGGTAATTTTGGAAACAAAAAAGAGTCCACACCTGATTATTCTATATATTCTACTCAAACCCTAATCTACCATCCCTCCAACCGAACCCTAGACGATGGCATCCGCCCATCTCTTCCACCCGCACACCTCCTCCACTCCCCCACCTACGCCCATCTCCTCCACCCGCCCTCCCCTCTCCTCCACTCTCTCCCCCACCCTCCGTCCACCTCCTCCAATCCTCTCTCTCTCTCTCTCTCTCTCTCTCTCTCTCTCTCTCTCTCTCTCTCTCTCTCTCTCTCTCCCCTTCTCTTCTGTTGTTCTTCTGCATCTCCTCGGGGCAAAATCAACGGCTGGGAAAGAGGTAGTTTTTGTTTGTATTGGTATGTATTTTGTTTGTATTGGTAGTGATTTTTTAGTAGTAGTAGTAGTGTTTTTTCCTATTGGCGAAATGATATTGTTGTTTGGTAGTGATGTAATTGTATTGGTATTGGTTAATAAGTATAAGTGTTTTTATGGATTGGTATTGATTTTGTTGCATTGGTATTGTTTATGTCGCATTGGTATTGATTATCATGTAATAGTATTAATTTGCATGTATTGGTATTGATTAAATCTGCAATGGTAATGATTTTTTTGAAATGGTATAGATTTATATTGGTAGTTTTCGTCTAATGGTATAGATTTATTTCTGCAATAGTATTGATGTTTTTCAAAGTGGTAGTGATTGTCTAGTGGATTGGTAGTGATTTCGTTTTTTTTCTTTTGCAGAAAAATTGAGAAAAATAAGGAAAGGAAATCTGGCTGGAGATTACGGAAGTGAGAGAAAGAAAAAGAATCGTAATTAATAGATTTTTGTAACTACCTAAAATGTAATTTATTAAGAAAATTAATTAATACAATTTATTTTTCCATACCCAATTCACCCTTAGTAACTATGGTGATTACTAGTTTGTAGTAATCACCGTAACCTGTCCCCATGGGAATCAATAAGGATTGTAACACCGTAAAAACTAGTGGTAGATAGGTAATTTTTCGGTCAGACTGTCGATACGTTATGATTTAGTAAACACTTTAAAATTGCACATCCCTATAATATTGGCCTAAAATACGCTAGCAAAAGCCTACAAAAAGCAATTTAAAAGATGGGGTTTAGACTTTTACTTGGCTTGAGAGCTTTTATTCGGATTTTTCGGTGTCGATTTTTTTTTGAACAAAAAGTACAATATCTAAGGGGTCTAATGCATAAAATCTTAGCCTTTAAAATTAGCTTTTGACTGCATTGCTTGCAGTTGCAACTGCTAAAATCATTACAAGTTTGAGAATAAAATACACAGATAAATATGATAATTCACTTTTGTCTTCCCCATTAACTAATATAATTCATCGATTCCATTTAAGCTAAGGAATAACTCATCATTCTTCACAATATGATAATAATACTAAAAATATCATTGAAGAAATTACTCGAGTAAGGCTTATTAGCTTCTCTTTGTCAAAAGTAACACACTCATTCTCGGAAAAAATCCAAAACTACCACTGTTTAAATTTTTTTTACAAAAATACCACCCTCACCAAATAATTTCCAAAAATACCATCGTTTATATAAAACCGCGCCTCTGATGAGCGATTTTCAATGAAACCGCAGCCTAGAGGCGCGGTTTCCCTTATAACCGCTCCTTGGACGCGCGTTTTTATTTTCCAGAGAAAACCGCTTCTGGGACGCGCGGTTATAGGCTAACCCTACCACAAAACGCTTTAAGAGGGAGCGTTTAAATGTCGGCATTACAAACCGCCTGATAAAGGGGCGGTTTACAATGTCAGGACACAAACCGCTCCCCCGAGGCGCGGTTTGTGCCTGGTCACCCGACACCCGACATGTCGGACATGTCGGCATGCAGGGGTAGGGCTTTGCACCTTTAAATTATTTATCAGCTGTCGATTAACGTTAATTCGTAAGTTTGTTTCGTAATTACTTTTCATTGTCTTTGTGATTTTATGTTAGTAACTTAATTACTTTTGATTGTCCTTTGTGATGTTATGTTAGTAACTTAATTATTTTTCATTGTCATTTGTGATTTTATGTTAGTAATTTGAATTACTTTTCATTGTCCTTTGTGATGTTATGTTAGTAACTTGTGTTACTTTTCATTGTCATTTGTGATTTTATGTTAGTATTTTGAATTACTTTTCATTTTTCTTTGTGTTGTTATGTTAGTAACTTGTGTTACTTTTCATTGCAGATGGCATTCCAAAGGTTCACGCTTGGGTTGCGGTGGAATGGTTACATGGAAGAGACCGAAAAGGGTGTAAGTTATGTCGGTGGCAATTTTCATAAAATGAAGGTCCGTACGAGACCGATGCTTGAAGAGCTCCATCAAATGTGCACTCAGATTACCTGCATGGATGGCACTAGAAGAGTTGATCAAATGGTTTATCGATATCCAAACAGACATGACGGGTCGCTGTGGTATGAGGAATTCCTCCTTACCACTCAGGAGGACGTTGATGCCATGGTCCAATTTTTGACCACCAATACAATGAAGCAAGCGGAGATGTTCGTTTACACCGAGGCCGTTGAAGGCAGTGTAGGTCATTCTGGAGCTGGCCAAACATCTGGTATCCACGGTGGGAGTGTATTATACGAAGATCATCCCCACCAGGATTTCCAAGACTCGAGTTGGAGTCAGGAGGAGTATCATCATGGAACTGGAGGAAGTCATCAATCCTTACCTTCATATGAAGAAGAAGCTCAACAGGCGGATTACAACCAACAAGCAGGCTACCAGTACCCACCCGAGTACAACTTCTATCAAAGCGGTGTTAGTTACCACAACTACCATTACGGAGCTAGTGAAGGTCAAGGTGCCTTTCATGCTGATAATCAAGATGAAGAAGAGGTCAATCCAAGTCCAGTTAGTGACTCTGAGGTTGAAGAAGAGGAAGGCAAAGTTAGTGCAGACAGCTCCGATCCGCTGGAAGGTGCTGATGATTCCGGTCCAGATTCAGATTCAGACGCAGATGGTGATGAGGTACCTCACGACCGTGTACCTATTCCATACTACAATCACATTCAAAGTGAAGATTGGTATGTTGATGCCGACATGGACCCGCCAGATGTGCCAGTATGTGGTCCACTAACTGGCTTTTCGAAGGGCCAACAGTTTGCAACGAAGAATGAGGTTCGACACGCTATTTCCACTGAAGCAATGACTCGGAGTTTTGAATGGCAGACAACCCATTCCGACACAAAGAGGCTGATGGTTCGATGCAAAAACCACAATGAGGGATGCGCTTCTAGGGTCCGGGCCATCAAGAGCAAGAGAGTCGGTCATTGGGTCATATCCCGTGCGGTGAACACACACACATGTGTGTCATCAATAACATCCCAAGGTCATCGACAGTTGAAATCAAGGGTGGTTGCCGCGGCTATCAAACATCTAATTGAGGAGCAGCCCGACCTGAAGGTGAAAACCATCATCGCCCACATTTCTAGTCGTTATGGTTATATCATTAACTACAAGAAAGCGTGGCATGGGAAACAGAAAGCAATGGCTGCCGTGTTTGGTGACTGGGAAGAATCATATGCATTCCTTCCCAAACTGATTTTGGCGTTGGAGCTGTCTAACCCTGGAACCATTTTCTCGCCTCGCTACCAAGATGAAGAAATTCAATCGCCGGTGGCTGGTAACAATCGCCAATTCAAGCGTCTTTTCTGGGCCTTCAAGCCATGTATTGATGGTTTTCCATACTGTGTTCCTGTGATTCAAGTTGATGGAACATTCCTTACCGGCAAGTACAAGGGTACTCTACTGATTGCCAGCGGAGCAGATGCAAATAGATTAGTATATCCATTAGCCTTTGCCATTGTGGAGGGAGAGAATACCGATAGCTATGGATGGTTCTTCAGACAAATTCAGCTCCATGTCACCAGGCGGACGAACCTGACTATCATCTCAGATCGCCACGCCAGTATACGGGCTGCTATTTTAGGCTTGGATCCAGCCTGGAACTGGTCACAGAGATGGTGCATCCGGCATTTCAAGAG